GTGTTCGGATTAACGATTTGTTCGGATCAGCAATTTTCGCAAAAATCTGAAAGGGAATTGAATAACAACTTCATACACAACTGAAAACAAACTTCAAGAAATAAACCTAAATTTTATTAAACAGAAATTAAAGAATTCTTAAGCAACAATGGTTAATAGATACATTCTAATAAAATATTACTCCGTGACCATAAACACGTTATCTTTTTGGAATAAACCCCGGGATCTATACCCTGAAATTTTTCGGAATTTTTATATTAATTTTTCAAAAATGAAATTTTCCATTATGTATTCGTATTACCTCCATTATGCAAATTTCGACCCATTCTCGACGATTTTCGAAATTTAACTAAATATACTTTCTTGTAGATTTTGGACCTCAGAAGTCACTTCTGGCTTCATTTCTTCGATAACTTAAACCCATTTTTCTAGAATCGTCCAGTTGAAATATCACAATTTTTAAAAATTTCGAAAAATTCGAATTTCACAGCGAATTTTCCGAAAATATTGCTCCGTTACCATATACATGGTATATTTTTGGAATCAGCACGTCGGGATATATATCTCTGAATTTTTTCAGAATTTTTAGGAAAATTTTTCAAAAATGAAATTTTTGTCATGCAAATTTCGACCCATTTTCGACGATTTTCGAAATTTAACCAAATACTTTCTCTTGTAGATTTCGAGTCTCCGATAACTTCATCCGTTTCTCCAAAATTAGTTAATTAATTTAGTACTTTGAAATATCGCAATTTTTAAAAATTTCAAAATATTCCATACAACATATGCAGAAAGATCTTGCGTCATTTTTGAAAGTAGATGCATGTTTTCAAGTTCAGTTCGGATTGCAGAGTTTTTGTTCGGATTAAAGAGGCATCGACTTCAAATAGCCTCTGTTTGGATTGCTGGATGTTGAGACAATCGTGAGTTTGGATTATAGAGGTTGCACTGTATTTACAAAATGAAGTATGATTTCAAAATTTTGAAATTGGTCAAAATAAAGTACCTCGGTCGTGTGCCAGGGGGGGGCAATTGCACCCATTGCCCCCCCCCCTGGATCCGCGTCTGATTTCTAGTTATGCATCAAATGGTTTTTTTTTTCTTCACTAATAACTTAAATTTTTCTTCGTGCGTTATTTTCTATATAAACAAAAAACTTTCCTTCGGTATCAAGTTTTTTAGTACGAAATACCGAGTGACCATTAAAATATGGGATTTTTTTGTCAACTTGGAAACATAAGTATTAAAAACTTGATGATGGCATACCTGATTGTCAAATTAATACTTATGTCACCAAATTAGTAGCTGCAATTTTCTCAACATTTCAAAAATTTGAGACTGACATCCTAGCATTGCTGCCAATAATTCAGAAAAAAATTGCGTCAGTCACCCAGTACTTTTTATCATCCACGAAATTTCTAAAAGACGCTACAAAAATAATAATCAAGGAAGAATACATCTTTGATAAAAACCTTGGGGATTGACATTTATGTTACAGTGCTTTGAATCACATAAATAAACAATATTCAACATATCATTAAATTTGGTATTTGCCGCATGCAGTTACATCAGCTAATAAACAAAGTGAAGACTATTAAATGAAATATGTGACACCTTGTTGGAAGATTAAAAATGTGTCATGTATAGTGTATACCGGGTGACTATTAATGATTGAAACAAACTTTTAGGTTGGCAATTCTGAATTGCTGACAGGAATGTTACCCAGTTGACATGAGCGCGCCTAACAAACCAACGACAAGATGACACTTGTATCATCATAAAATTTTAAATATGTTGCCAACCTGACAAAAAAATCACAATCATTAATAGTCAGTCAATGTACGTATACAATTATATTTTTCTTTGTTTTATGGACATACCACTCATTTAACTATGATCTAACCATATGACGACTGACGGGTTGGAAAAATCATACAAATTTTACGTTCATATGGCCATAGGCGATGCCATTAAAGTCGTAAATATATTGCACAGCTGTAGCAAAATTCCAAGTATTCAATAATAAGGGGAATATAATTAATATGTCGGACGGAGTAAGATTGAATGCAGCAAGTTTTGCATTCTTAGTGTGCCCATACAGTAAAAAATTATCAAAATTGTTGGCATTCACACGTGAATAATGGAAAAATAAAAATGACATAAAACGTAAAATATTTACGAAAGATGGTCCCCACGATTTATTAATTTCCGCGCCGATCCGCTCGGGAGAAGTGTGTAATAGTCTCTTTACAACTTGTCCGCTGCGACTCGTTGACGCTCCAAGTGCTTAAAACGCACGAAATTTTTGATAATTTATTCCAAGTTCTCGAACTTTTCGCCTCGTCTGAAATTTTCCCAACCCTCGATTGCGTCACCGCGATCAGAAGTGGGAGTGCGTCCTCATTTCGATCTAACGGGACAGTGGGCACACGTCAAGAATGCACAAGTTACGTATGATTCGCATTTAAATCAGCGTACCAATAAAAAGCGTCATAAAATATGCATGTATGTATTTTTAATGCAAATATGCAACAAATCGAACGAGCAATCTGTATCTGAAAGTAAATTAATTATACAATCTCGTAGGGTCATTTCCTTGCGCAAGGTTGCTCAGTAAATTACTTAAGTAATCCGTGCGTGGACAATGCGCACTCAAAAACAAGAAAAAAATTTCATACGTGACTCGATTATTTCGATGCAAATGATGTGTTTACTACATTCTGCGTCCGTTTTTTCTCACTATTGTTGGGGGTCTGTGAATGGTCGGGCACAATACCATCAAGTGCGATTAAATCGCGGGGAATGATCCGAATTTTTTAGTTAGGTTTATTCATTGCCAAGCGGCGTGGAAAAAACGCGGTGCCGGAAGTGATGCTCTGTGAGTTTTTTTTATTAAGCGTGCAGAACGAAATCTGCGTTGAGAGAGAAGTAAAGAGAAAGAGAGGAAAAACAAATTTATTAATAGTTATAATACGGGAACATTTTGTTGACGATTAGTAGGCAACCAACATTACACGGCCGACCTTTTTTAAATCGTCAGTGTCATTGTCAAGATAAATTAAAATGACAAGAAAACAGCATTCAGCGCCATCTGGTAACACAATATAAACATATAAATACAATTAAAAAAATATATAGGTATCTACTATATATTAAATTGTTTATTATTTATTATTTTCTCAATATTGCAACTATTGAATCAACTATGTCAAATCTCAAAACCTAGTTTGTACATTATTGTCACCACCAAATTAACAATCAAACAAATTATCAGCATCGACAGAGCCATCTGTGGGCTAATTACTGTAATCTTGTCACAACTGGTAGAAAGCTGCTCCGACAACCTAGCTGCTAATTAGTACCAACACCTCTAATTAGCGGGTACTTAAAATCCAACTTGATTTCCCCTTTGGAAAAACGACATTTTTAAAATCGACTCGTTTGTACTTGACTATTGGATTTATTTTTGGGTTGTAACCTGACGTATTGGTTTTTACGCTAGTACCAGGTACCATCCAGGTCGCTCGAGCCACACCTTTACCACGAAACCAATTATCCTGCGGAAACCACTATCCAGATGGATGTCGGGTAATCGGTTTCAACTGATTCATGATCGGAAGAGTTAAACCGCATTCAATATAGATTGTTAGAACCTGTTTAATTACCACCTACGTGTACTTTATTTCCAGCAACCAATTAATAAACGCACGTGCGTTACCCGACAGTCGATGCAAAGATTTAAGGTTTTTCCAAAAATTGGTTGTCAAATTTTAGATTTAGAACTTTATGGTAAACAGTCTGATTTAAATTTTCATAAAACAAAAAAAGTGTGAATTTTTTTTTTTAGAAAACTGAAAACCATTTGTAGGGTTTGAAGGGAACACCCCCTCCACGTTATTTTTTTCAAAAGGGACTACTTATCTTGTGGCTTCAGTTGAAAGTTTGTTGCATCAGACATACTTCACTGAAAACTAGTTCAAATATTGATTCCAAATTTTAAGGGCACCCTCTGTAGTACCAGAGGAAATTGGAACAGGTAGAAGTGGAAGTAATAATTAAATAAAAGTTTTCTTGATGAAAGAGGATTACATCACATTGCCTAATAAGACCCACAAGGTTAACATAATGTGGAAATACAGTTAAAAATATTTGCCTTACAGGCACATTATTTCCCATGGGTTTCTTGGAAATACGCCGCTCCGGAACAAGAACGTTGCGGTCAGTTGTTAATTTATTAACTTAATCGCAGTTCTCGTTTTCTATTTTGCTTCTATTAACACGATAAGCAATAATTTACTTCAGGTTTTGTGATGTTTTTCCAGCTTAATATTTGTTATTAAAAAAGAGTCATTACATTGAGTTTCGCATCGGTAATTTTATTTCTCGCACATGTTAGAAATCCCAATTCGCTTCTTGGCCGCTAAACTGTCGATCTAACATTCTCCATAATTTAAAATACGCCTGGAATACGCTGGAATTTTTCAATAAATAATTGAAAACGTGCTAAACAAAATAATGTAGGCGGAGAGTTATTTTACCTGACATTGACAGAATACCAGGTTTTTCTAACGGGCGTGAATTTGACACATTTAGGGGAGTGTGGATATTAAAGACTTAAGTTTCAGCAGCGCAAGGACGAATGCGCAGTTGTTTTTTATTATTAACAGACTTTTAACTGCTGGTTTTAATTGCCTCAGTTTTAATGTACTCCTTCCTGTTGCGACAATATTTCTCGTTTTTTATTATTGTTGATATAAATGCAAATGTGCAATAAATAATTAAAACCACAAAAACTAATTCATTATCAATGACGTAAGTACCACTGGTACCAAGCTGTCTGAATCTTTTCTAGATGAGACATAGAAATTATCTAGAAATGTATTTGAGTAAATACTTTGTGGCTGTTTTGCGTTTTATCGCCACTGAATCATCCCACTATGTTTTTTTTTTGTTTAAATTGTTTTACTTGTGGAAGTATTTTTGTTATAAAGACATCTGCATTAAGATTTTTTATGTTCAGATATATTTAAACCATTTAAAACAAATTCATTGTTATTTAACAATTGTAAACTGCTGCTTTCCTACGCATGAGAGCAAATTTGTTCAAACCGTTTTACACCATACACGAACTTTCTCTATGATCCTCACCCTTAAGGGTGTTACTACGTCGACATCGACATGGCGCCGAGTTACGATCGCGTCATCTTCGTTGTAGCAACCGCCTTACGTCCCTAATCCCACTGCAACACACACACAAGAAACTCGTCTAAAAGTTCCACATGACTGTCAAACACCTGGACAACAATCTTTTCCAAATCTGCGACGATTTCGTCCTCCAGCAAAGTCAACTGGATTTCGTGCTGTTGTCCAACGATGGCTATAATCTTTGGCAAAGTCCTCTCCAAAAGCACCGTCATACCCAAAGCCTCAAACAAACATTCAGTACTATCCACCAGCAACATGCAGTTTTGTATCTTCAGTTTCACAGCGAGAGTTCGGTTTTGGGCCGCCATGAACACATTTTTGGCTTCGGAGATGATCCGTTGAGCTTTGGTGATGCCATCAAGGACCACAATTTTAGAATCAGTCAAGCTATTTCTCACTATTTGTTTGAAGTTTTCGTGAATGTGTTCTTCGCATGGTTGGATGTCGACTCCCGTTTCTTCGAGCGTTTCGGATATGATGAGTACATCTTCTTTTATGCTGTCTGTGTAGGTGTGGATGACTTCTGCCGCATCTAGCTCGTAGTTTGAGAAGTTGGTTATTAAGGTTTCGAGCTGGGTGGCTAAGCCGGAGAGGTAAACATTGATAGGGAAGTAAGTTTGGTCTTCTAGTAAGGTTAAGTGGTTTGCGACTTCTATTTCTAGAGATGTTTCTGTTGTTGATAACTAAGTGGGGTTGATTTATGAGTGGTTTAAAGTTTGTTTGAGGTAACATACCAAGAACAGGTTGAAGATGGTGAGGAGGTGTAAAAATTTGACCATATTTCGGTAGTGACGTGGATATTGTGTTTTTTCTACATATCTCTACTTGATTGATAAGATAACGCTAATATCTTGTCAATTTTTTTCTCAAGATAGTTCGAAATTTTATTAGGATATTTCGGTGCAATGATCATTGTAAGGTTATGCAATTATCTTATCTATCATATATGTTATCTCTTATCGTTTAATTGTGGGTAAATACTCACTTCTAAAAACTTAAATTAGGTCACTTATGTTGCGGTCAGACAGATAACGTTACTTAGGCACAATGTTACATTGTTTGCGTTTTAATCATAGGTTAACATTGCTCGTTATGTAAATTTTAAGAAATTATTGACTCTTAAAAAATTGTTACAAAAGATATGTATTTTCTAATATTCGCCAATGGAAACGGTTTATATTTTTTATCTATTAAATACCACATTATAAGTTCGCATGTGAATCGTGTTCAAGAGATTAATTTAGTTCCCAGAACACTTAAATCACTCAGATTTATATCCGACAATTACCTGTGAAGCACCAAACCGTTAAAAATAATTTTAGTAAAGTCACTAGATAGATAAAGTACCGCAATTGTGCGCCATATTGTGTCCGCGCCAAATTCAAAATAAATAAATAAAAATTAACGGACTCGATACTTGCGTACAAAGCGTAAATGTAGATTTTTTTCAAATAAACATTTATTTATGTTTAAGCGTTATTTGTTCAATGCACTTAAATGCCATTGATAAACATAAGGGGTGAGTAAAAAATATAGATGAGAAACCTTGCAATATCAGTTTATTAACAAAATTTCGGCCGCAATAGTTTCCTTCCATCTGCTCGCTTTGCTTCAAATTGTTGTTCAGAAAAATGTAACTAAAAGTAAATAGCATTTAACATTGTGCAATTACATATTCAAGCTTTAAACAAATTACTTCGCAAACTCGGGAGTTGTCGTTCAAATCGTCCCGGCCTATTAAATTCTCCCACATCTCTCTTCTAGTCTAACCCTATTACTAACACCTGTGCAACAATTTAAATTAGTTGAGAAAACTCAATTGAAAACTCAGTTGTAACCTACCTGTTGGAAGACGAAACAATCGGCTTTTATTTCCACACAAAGGAACACAACAACTTGGCATTTTAAAGTAAAAGTCATAAAACACAACAAAAAAACACAAACAACTTTACAAAAAACACAAACAACTTTGCAAAAAACACAAACGGCGTTTGACAATTAACATTGACGTTTGTCGGTCGCCATATTGTGTCCGAAATACACGTTCTCTCTCTAACACATTGAAACATTCAATTGCGGTACTTTGGTTATCTAGGGACTTTAAATTTTAGTGCACACATATACCATCTAGTGACACAGAACCGAAGCCTTCTTAAGTTTTGTGAATAGATAAATTGTCAAACTATGTACATAAGCAACCCAAATATCAGTAAGCCTGACCTGCGCAGTTGTGGCAAGCACGTCTGCTAAACATACAACTGTGTAACTGCGCCTTTACATCCACAAATGCAAATAAACTTCGTGATTTTATGTTTTCATATCGAATAATACTTGTTCATTGATAGTATGCAAATTATGAATGAGATTTTTTATTAAATGGCTGGATTAACCAACCAATCAGTGAAAACGCTGTTCTACCTGGGGTCTGTCCTGAAAAAAAAAGAGCTTTATACAACATCTACTATAAAATGAAGAGGAATTTACGCTAAAAATTCGTGGAAAACACAGCAAATCGTTTGATTTGGAAATACCAAAACTGAAAAGCTTAAGCTAGATGGTATCTAGAAGTCGTTACATAAATCAGATTGTTCTTACAATCTGATTAATATAGTTATTGCTGTTGTTCAATGGACGACAGCGACAATTTTCTTATCAATTAGTGCAAACGTCACGAGTAAATACATTTTTTACACACTACTACACTGAAAAGTGGGCGGCCTTGGCAAGATTGCAAGGTCAAAGGTCAATTACTGGGGAAAACCACGATTCTCGTGACTCATTATTGTTTATTGTGAATTATGCGAAATGATAAAAATTTGGTAAATAAAGATTTAGTTCGTCCTATATTTTTATAGTTTTAGTCGGTACCACCACGTAATGCGTCGTAATAGCTAACTTTTACGCGCATATTTTCTTCAAGTTCAGACAAGCCTGAAAAGGTGCCTGAAATGTTACATTATTCATGTTGGTACGTCACAGTGACGTCAAAACCGCGCTGAAATACACCTGGTTAATGATAAGTGTAGAAATTCGAAGGTGCACCAAGATATTCTGCGCAGAACAATATCCTTCAACTTTATCTTCCTACATGAGTGTTTATTTTTTTAGTTTCGAATTTTTATTTATTAGTTAGCGAGAACTCTTGCATAATGAATTTATCGCAATTTGAAAGGAGCGACACAAAGTTACTGCATAATAAATCTATTTATAAAATACTTTTGTACAAAAATTCGTGCTTATGATCAGTACAGTCAAAATTTAAATAACTAAGTATTCCTGGAACGATCCGGATAACCTCTCGGCCATGTCCAAATCCCCGGAACTTATATGAATGGGTTCTAATTCTATCTGGTTGCAGTCCATATTCAGTACTTGACAAATTCCGCTGGCACTGTCGAGATTAACGTTAGTACCTAGCGTAAAATCGTCGGAAGGTATATTCCAATTAGGTATTTCGCTTGGGGTATTTCTTCTAGAACCGGAATATTCAGTCTGGTTAATGTTGTTGACTTCTGGTTGAGCTGAGATCAAATTTTGCACTTCTGGTCCCGTCCAAGAACTTATATCTAGGAGAAGCGACTCATTCGTGTCCATTCTTGCCACTTTTGCGGGCTGATAAATATCCACTTCTGTTACAAACAAAACAATGAAGATTAAACGCAACTTGGTACCATCGAATTTACCTTCTCTAGACCTAGTCTGAAGCAATTGAGCAAAAAGCGGGTTCCCGTAAGGCAAGTTTTTCCTACTTTCCTTTAAAACTCCTGGTGCTAGAATTATATTGTCAGAAAAATCGCGACAAAAATTTTGAACAAGTACCTGCTTGTAGCGGAAGGTACTCAAATTCAGCCGGTGGACTTGCCGCTTCGTCAGTCGGTCGTACCAACTGCACCCACACTTTAACCGCATCCGTGATATTCTGATCGTGGTACTTCGGCGGTCTAAAACAAATCGCCGTGTTGTTGTAGATATCGTTGGCACGAAAAGTACCAAAATCTTCCCACACAACTTGGTTGTTCCTCGTTTCAAAAAAGCGAATTTTGATGTCATCTTTCGTCACCTGGAAGCCACAATTAGAGCGAGAACACCCACACTGAAGACTTACTTTAGTGCAAAGAAGAATGATTTGTTCGGAGTTTTGATTTTTACCATTAACGTAGCTGTTGCAGTGCGACAACCTATAAATCAACGGATCTGGAAGAGTTTTCTTGTTGTAAACGTGTTCACTAACAACTGGACTTATATTGATCCTTTGGCTCCTATTTTCACCAAGTAGGACAACCTGGACGCACAACCGCACCACGTTCAAATCCAAAGATCTAACGTCTTCTTTGTGGTCAAAACCCCCTACAAACAAAAAATCAAACCACCACTTTTAAATAAGTGTGAAAACGTACTTTCAAAAGGGTCGATATTTTTTTCCTCTCTAACCCTCAACGACTCCTTAACGTCAGCTTTCTTCACACACTGCACCGCCAATTTCGGGAAAGTAATTGTGGAGTTGGTGGCAGTAACCTCTTGCTCGAACGAACAAACCCCATATTTGCAGTTGTGACCTACCAGTTGGTGGGGGTGCTGTCTATAGGGTGGGTCTTTCGTAACGCAGGACACAATCACCACCAGTCGTCCCTGGTAGCCGTGAATCTGGACGGCAAACGACGTTTTGTTTTCCGGGGTGCTTGAGGCTCCGGGGATGGTTCCAGGTCTTCCTTCGCAGACGTACCGAAACCGGAGGGACTTGGAGGGTTGCTCGATGATCACAATGTAGGGTCGGGGGCGGTTTTCGGGCGTGAGGGGCGCGAGGATTGGGTGGAGGATCGTTGGAACCGACATGTTTGGAAGTGTTTTTAATCTGCGAAGATAAAAACAGCAAGTTAAAAATAAATAACAAAGTGTTTGCATATTATTGCATTTCTCAGGAAGAGCCGCGGGATTTTACCGGTAATGATGTCATCTTGTTGTCTCGATAATAACTCTAATCATAAATAAATCACAGCACTTACATTTTTTGTGATGTAGTTGTTGTTTTATATCATCATACACGATGGGTTATTGGAAGGGAATGTTTGCGGAGAAATTGGTTAAAAATTGGAGTGTCGTCGTACACTTTTGTATTGGGTCAACTAGCGCACTTCGTGATACGCAAGTTGCGACGATAGCGACTGTCGTAACCCAGTATGGGTTTACACAGTTATGCTGTTGTTTTGTCAAGGTTTCTTGCTTTTATATGGCATCAAGTGCTAGCGCGTCGACTGTTTTATAGAAGCGCGCCAAGGTAGAATCTGTTTTCATACTGAAATTTTTTTTTATTAATTTTTTATTTGGAAGCTTCTGCATACTTAATTCTCGGGTTATTTTAGTTTTATATTTAATTACATATACAAGATGTTCGGTACAAATAGCTAAAAAAATTGTCTGCTCACGGAAAAAACACTATATCTATTTTTTTTTCGTAGTGTAATCAAGTTTTCACCAAAGATAAAGTTATTACTCCTAACACCGATAACAAAATTATTGCACTGATAAAATTTAGGAAGAAATAGATCAGGTGGTTTTTTAATTTGGGAGCAAAATAAGTTACTTCAGTAATATTTTTGAAACATCTTGCATTACAATTCTAAAATCTCAAAATCGGCGATGCTGGTTTAAATTCCTTCTTATTTGTTTCTTGTTTCTGCGTTGTAATGACTCATTGATTGAATTGTTAAACAATCAATATCTTCAAAAGATATTTTGTCAACAAAATAAATTACTTCGTTAATCTTTTTGAACCATATTGTATTACAAATAATATAAATTAACATAACGTGTTACGTAATATTATTTGGGAATCAGACGTCATCTCAGGGCATATTTTTTAAAACATGTACATAATATGAACAGAATGAATAAATAAATAAATTTTAGTTGTGGTTCTGTAATTATTAAATCAATGCTACCGTCCATCAAAATTTAAAAAATTTCATGTATGTTTTAAGATAAATTGTGAAATATAATTCTACGAATTTCTTTTACAATAATCCGTATGTGTAAGATTAAAAATATGCATGCATTATTAAACCACAGATAAATAAATTTCAAGTTAGAAAGAACTGATTGACACAAATTGTGAAATATCGAAAAAACACAAAATTTGGCGTTACTAACTAGATCGTAGTGATTTGCATTTACCAAAAAGAAATACAAAATTTGTTTTTTAACGAGTTTCTGCTGTAAGTATGCTTCTTTTGACTTTTTACACCCTTAGAAAATGGAAAATCTACATTCCGTCTGTCTGTCTGTCCTCAAAATGTGTCTGTCATCCCCAACAACAATTTGATGTACTTGTGGTTTATGCATCCACCTTCAGTTTTTACCCTAGACATCCAGAGTTTCTCTAAAAAATCTAAATTGTACTTTTGTACCACTCCTTGGCTCAGCGGTGAGAGTGTAGTGCTAATAACGCAAGTTAGTTCTATCTATGACCGAAATTTCGACTTATTGTTGAGTGAATGGGTGTTCTTTAACCGGAGAACCTTAACTCCGGTCCAGAAAATATCTACCTGACTCTAACTGCACTTACTTGGTGCAGACACGTTTAATTAATTTTGGATTAGGACTTATCAAATAAAGTCAAAATCTGTCAGTGTCACTTTCAGAACCACCACTGGTCTAAATAATTAATGAACGCACGATGGGGCTTTAATGTGTAGCCGTACACACAACCGTATTTAAATTTCACCTGCCCCTTATGAGGGATTAAGGCGCTCCAGGTACCTTCGACCGGATTTGATAATCAAGACGCCTTAATTATCAAACCCATCAAGAATAGTTTCCCCGTCAAGGTTAAACAGAACTCCTGGGCTAACTACCTTGGGTGTGTTTTCCACTTAGAGAACTTGATACTGGGGGAGGGGGGCTACGGCATTACCATATCTCTCTGTCTTTTATTTTTATGTATAAATTTGGGTAATTTTTTACCGGAAATGTTTTCTGTTGTTGGGATGGTATTTCTGACTTACCTTGATTTAATGTTTTGTGCTTATTGTATTCTTCATTAGTGTCACACTAACAACGTGAAACTTACTGCTGTGGTTATATTTTGTCTAACTTGGGGAGGGGGAGAGCTAAGGGTGCATGCGCATCAGATTTTTCAACCATTTCTACTGATTTCTACTTTTGCGTTTTGTGAATTTGTGCAATAATACCAATACAAGTGAAAAACAGACAACCTTGGGTATATTGCAAGGTTAAAGGCCAGTTATTGGGGAGAACCAAGATCTTTCGTTGGTCATTTTTTTTGTGATTTTGCGAAATGATATATTGAAAATTTTGTAAACAAAATAAAGTGAAATGACTAAGATTTTATTAGCAGTTTTAGTAGTCATACGAAATAATGTAAAAACTTTTAATTTTCTCTACACAGTAATTTTTAAACATAATATCTTATTTTACTATTGGTTAGATAATCGCGAGATGCAACTGAAACAATCAATTTATTGCATAATTAATACATTTATTAACTATATCTGTACAAAATAAGTGCCAAAAATAAAAAGTACAGTCACTAAATTGTCATTTTCAGTACCCACACACACTGTCGACATTTACAATAGTACCTAGTCTAAGATCTGCTGAAGTATGCTCCAGTTAAATTATCAATTTGGGTACTTCTTACGGAAGAGGAGTATTCAGTTTGGTTAATGCTATCAACAATTTGAGCCACTTCAGGGATCAAATCTTCAATTTCTTGTAGAATCGAAGAACTCATGTCCAAAACAAGCTGATCTCTCGTATCCGTTCTTCTGCGCTTTGTGGTTTGGTTAATTTCTGCAGCAACGAATTTATCTTCTCGAGTTCTGGTACCATTCTCCGTCAATTCATCAAAAACCGGATTCTCGTCCCTATTCTCATTTAAAACTCTTGGTGCTAGAACCACACTGTCAGAAAAATCGCGAGAAAAATTTTGTCCGAGTACCTGCCTGCACTGGAAGATACATAAATTCAATCGGCTGGCTTACCATCTGGTCAGTCGGTCGTACCAACTGCACCCACACTTTAACCGCATACGTGATGTTCTGATCGTGGTACTTCGGCGGTCTAAAACAAATCGCCGTGTTGTTATAGATATCGTCGGAATGAAAAGTACCAAAATCTTCCCACACAACCTCGTTATCCTTCATTTCAAAAAAACGAATTTTTAAATCATCTGTCTTCACCTGAAAGTTGCATTTAGAGACAGAACACCCAAACTAAAGACTTACTTTAGTGCACAGAAGAATGATTTGTTCAGAGCTGTGAATTTTACCATCAACGTAACTATTACCGTGTGACAGTTTATAAATAATGGGCTCAATAGGAGCCTTTCCATCATAAATCGGGTTACTCACAACTGGCCTTATCTTGATCCTTTGGTCCCCATTGTCACCTAGCAAAACAACCTGGACACACAACCTCACCACGTTCCGTTCCAAAGGTCCAAAATCGTCCTTGTGTCCAAAACCCTCTGAAAACAAAAGTCAGGAAACAACAAATTAAAAACAAATCTACCTTCAAAAGGGTCCACGTTGTTCTCTTGTCTAATCCTCAGCGACTCCTGGAAGTTGCTCCTCTTTATACACCGCGCCCCCATTTTCGCAAAAGTTATAGTAGAGTTAGTGGCCGTAACTTCTTGTTCAAAGGAACAAACTCCATGGTTACAGTTGGGACCGACCAGCTGGTAGGGATGTTGTCGGTAGGGTGGATCTTTCGTTACACAAGACACATTTACGAGCAGTCGGCCCTGGTAACCGTGAATCTGGATGGCAAAGGAAGTTCTATTTCCTGGAGTGCTGGAAGCTCCAGGGATCGGCATGCCTCGCCCTTCCTGGATATAGCGGAACTTATGGGCTTTATAAGGTTGCTCGATGATTTCGATGTAGGGAAGGTTTTCGGGGTGGAGGACTGCAGGGACCGACATGTTTAGACAAGAATTTGAGAGACTTAGATCTGTAAAAATGAAAAAAAAAACAAAATAAATTGTTTGTACATTGTGGGTTTCTCCGGAAGAACCGCGGGTTTTTCCCCATGATGAAGTCATATCAGTCAGGGGCGTACTGGAAAGGGAGAGAGCGGGGGGTTCAGAAGCAAGTCGGGTTTGACAGTTAACATTAATATATTGATTAAACTTGTACAGAAACACATCTTAAGTTACTCAGTGATAATAAGTACACTGTGGTACCAAATAAAAATACAGCTTAGTGAACAATTATATTTTACCCTTCCTACCTCTAGGTGCGCCACTGGTTTCGATGATAACGTTAACCGTAAAATAAATTACAGTACTTACATTTTTTGGTTATGTAAATGTTGTCCTATTTCATTGCAATTTGTGAAATGCAAGCTGCGAAAAGAGTGACTGTCGTAACCCACTGTACTCCTAGGTTCACACAACTACACTGCTGTTTTTGTCAAGGTTTCGTGCTCTTATATAGTACCAAGTGCACTATTAATATGTAGAAACGCGCAAAGTTGTTCTCATGCTTCTGATTTCTTGATTTTTTAGTTCAAACAAAAGTATTTTTAAATACTAAATTGTCGGATTATTTGTGAAGATGGATTAAACCGAATGTAGGTAATGTTTGAAATTACGTGACCTGCGTGTATTGGGGGTTGCATGACCACCCATCGAAGAGTACTTTGATCGCCAGAATTAATAACTAATTATTGGTTTTGAAAGGTGCAACTAAAACAACTGCCTATTATTTACAATAGTACCTAGCGCAACATCTGCTGAAGCTATGCTCCAGTTAGATGATCACTTTGAATACTTCCAGAGGATGAGGAACACTCTCTCTGGTTAATGCTTTTGACATTTTGAGCCACTTCTAGTTGATCAGGGATCAAATCTAGAAGTTCCATAGGAAACGGTTCATTGATGTCCATTCTTGCTCGTTTTACAAGTTGGACAGTTTTCGTGTTCCTCCTCTTGCTCTCCTTTACAATTCCTGGTGCGTTTGTACAAGTACCTGTTGGTAGCGGAAGGTACTCAAATTCAACCGGCGAGCTTGCCGCCTCGTCACTTGGTCGTACCAACTGAACCCATACTGTAACAGGCTCCACGATGTCTTGATTATGGTACTTCGGTGGCTTAAAACAAATCGCTGTCTTGTTGTAGATATCGTCGGATTGAAAAGAACCAAAATCTTCCCACACAACCTGGTCATTCATCGTTTCAAAAAATCGAATCCTTATATCACCGTGTACCACCTGGAAGATACATTTAGAGGCAGAACACCCACACGGATACTTACTTTACAACCCAGAAGAATGATTTGTTCAGAGTTGTGATTTTTACCGTCAACGTAACTACTGCAATGCGACAACTTATGAATAAACGGATAAAAAAACAACCTCTTGTTATAAACAGGGTCACTGACAATAGGACTAATACCAATCCTTGTGTTGCCATTTTCACCAAGCAAGACAACCTGGACACACAACCTCACTACAGTCAAATCCAAAGATTTAACATCCTCATTGTGTTGAAAGCCCCCTGGAAACAAAAAATCAGAAGAGCAAAACACAGAAAGAGACGTACTTTGAAAAGGGTCGACATTCTTCTCCTCTCTAACTCTCAAGGACTCCTTTAGCTCAGCTCTCTTCAGACACCGTACCGCCATTTTCGGTAAAGTTATAGTAGAGCTAGCGGCCGTAACTTCTTCTTCGAAATAACAAACTCCAAATTGGCACTTGCGACCTACCAGTTGGTACGGATGTTGTCTATAAGGTGGGTCTCTTGTAACACAAGACACAATTACCCTTAGTCGCCCCTCATAACCGTGAACCTGGATGGCAACGGAAGTTTTATTTTCTGGAGTGCTTGAAGCGCCCGGGATCGGGATGGGTCTTCCTTCTTGGGTATAACGGAACCGGTGGTACCTGAAGGGTTGTTCGACGATTGTGATGTAGGGACGGTGTTGGGGCGTGATGGGAGTGAAAATAGTGTGGGGGATTTCTGGAAGCGACATTCTTGCAAGGAAGATTTTAAGAGTTTTGAATCTGCGCAGAAAAAAAAACAGTAAATTGAAAATACACTCTGTATTATATATAATAACGTATACATTGAAAATTGCGCAATAAACTTCAGTACGTACTTACATTTTTTTATTTCGTTATAACACGGTAGTAAAAGAAAAAAGTTTGTGAAGAGAGTGTTTAAAATTGTGCACGCGTGTGTTGGGTCAACTAAGACAATCTGTGATGTGCAAGTTGCAAACGAGTGTGGTAACACACTATAGGCTGTGGATTTACCCATTTATATTTATATTGGTGTGTCAGTTTCTGGCTTCCATAAAACTTGTATTGTAAATATTTCTGTGTATTGTGAGTTGCATCAGTTACAAGGGGCGAAAAATTAGCCAAAGGATGTAATAGAATACTTCCTACAACTTTTTTTCTAAAATCTTGCTCCGACACTATAAAATTTTTCCCTACTGGCTCTTTATGAAAATTTTGACCCTTTTCTTCAAAAATTGTCTAAAGATATCTTAGAGATTTAGACCTTCAGAAGGTAGTTTTGGTGTCATTTCATATGAGCAAGTTGATATCTATACCCCAGAATTTTTAGGGATCTTTCTCAAAAACTCCATTTTTCTCCAGTTGTCTTAGTCAAACAGTTTTCATTTGTGGTCAAATTATGTCGAATGTAGATCACTTTAATTATAAATAAAATTTGTCTGTAAATAATTTCGGACGGTTGCACGGTCGGAATCAATACATGATCGTTTTCGGGGTTGGAACCGTGTTAATTGAGTTTTTGGGCTCAACGTTTCGCACACTTTCGTAAGTGGCATCTTCAGGCGCAGGGTTAAGAATAAGATACAATTTGTCTGTATGTAGTGTAAATTTGAGGACACTTTGGACTTATCAATTATCAATTTCATATTACATTTAGTGAGTAATAAGAACGGAAAATTTATTTCTACAACGAATAATGCGGAAAGAATTTACTTTATAGTACTTAACCATTACACTTATTACTTGATAGTGTGATAATTTTCGACAGATCATCTTCGTAATCTCTTGTTTTCAGATAGATATAGATCACACCAAGAATTTATTGCTTCAGACTTGTATCAGATGATATTTCATCAAATGTTAATTAAAAATCCTTTAGTTTTTCATAAATGTTCTGTGTGCAGCAAGTCAAATCAGTTAATTTTGCAAAATAAGCGATAATCCTGGGATAATCCATGAATTCAATTGCTATCCGATTTAAAATTATGTTAAGGCAGCGCTCTGATTAAGCCCGGCACTTTTGCCGCTAGATGTCGCCTGTGTTGTAGATTTGGCGGTCGCAAATCCGGCAGCCGTTGTCTCCACCTCGTAAAAAATATGCGAACTATTCAGGCGCTATTAAACTTTGTGGAATGTGGCCTGTGGGACGGACCCTGACGCATTCCAATCGCATTCCTTCGCCCGTTGCGCCACGACCTTGTCATCCCCGCTTGGCGGCGTCGGGGGCAGAGCATCGCGTGCGCGTCGTGCCGCCGTCGAACCCGCGCCAGTGTCCCTTCGTCCGCGGCGGCGAGCGCCGTCCCCAGTTCGCCCATTCACCAGAGCAAGTGCGCCGCATTCCTTCGTCGAGAGCGGCCTCGTCCCATTGGCGGCCGCGGCGTGACGTCACGGCACGACCGCTCATGATAATGTGGTATTCAACATGGCCGAGTAGCTAGTGGTGTGTGTGCCAGTTGCTGTGGATTTGGATGGATTTTGCTGTGAATAATGCCCAGAAAACGGAATGGTGAGATACCCTTGCCCGAAGGTTGGGATTACGGCCGGGACTACGATGGGAAAGTCTACTTCATCGACCACAACTCCAAGAAAACGACGTGGATCGACCCCCGAGACAGGTAGGCCAGCCGCCCCCGGGCGCCGGGGCGCGCGGCGGCGCGCGTCGCGACGCCGCGGCCGCGCGACGCCAAGCGGTCTCCGGCAGGAATGCGCCTTATCGCAGGAATGCGCGCTTATCGCCGTGGCCCGAATCCCGGTGATGTAACACTGGGACAACACTCAAAAGTGGCACGAACAATTACACCGCTATGTGCTGTTATTGCCACTTTTTGCCTCCTCCTCCATAGCATAGGTGCATTGACCACTTTCACTCCAGTTGTCACAAGACACCGTGCATTCATCACGGGATGAATCCGGAGATGGGGACCACCACGTGCCACAATTTACCAAAAACCTATGCGGGAAACGCGCTTGTGCGGGTCGGGATTGGGAAAACGAACCCACGGAGACGACTTTCGGCTGAATTAGATTATGCTGTTCTTGTGATCATTCCACTTTTTTTTGATTTTCTTTCCTTGAAAAACGATCGGCTGCTGAAGCGTTTGCACACCAAGAGTAATCGGATTTGTTTAGTGGACATTTAAATGCAAATTGATAAACGGCTAATCCCTAGTGTCTGCTTTCCTATTCCTGCCAGCAGGACATTCTATTCCGTGTTCTGCATCATTTGCCTTTCCTGTGTTTTATTGCGCAAATATGTAATGATGTGAAGAACGTGCAGTTTCTTCCTTTTGTCAATGTTTGTACCCTCCATTGATCATTCCTATCCTATCTTTCACTTCGGATCCGAAAGTCGTACTAAATGTTTTCATAGATGTGTTAAAACCGGTGCTTCATACACAAATTATCTTCAGTTCTCTAGTGTATAACCAACACATAGTTTCGCTAAGTCTATTTGAAACATTTTCAACTGACGCATAAGTCGGAGAGTGCTTCACACAAGTGAAAAGATCTGTGTAGAGAAATACTCGAGATTCTTTGTCTTAACAGAAAATGAATTGACTTTTCGTCTGACTTGGTTATACACTAATGCAAACATTGTAAATAATATCAGGATGTGTTTCAAATGTGTAATTAGTTGGTGCTTCATACAGAAATTATCGACCTGTAAACTCTACGAACCCGTCTAGTGTGTATTGTTATGTTAAATTTTACACGTTAATCTTAGACATAGTTTCACTAACTTTATTTGAAACATTTTTAAGTGACGCAATAAGTCGGAGAGTGCTTCACACAACGTGAAAAGTTCTATGTAGAGAAGTATTTAAGACCCTTTGTGTTAAAGATAATGTATTGACTTTTTTTTGACTTGATAATACGCAAATGAAAGTTAAACAAAAATAATGAGTAATCGCGTGCTGTGTTTCAACTTCATTCAAGTTCTTTTAATGACGCACAACATTTCTAATATCCAGTGCTTCATATAGACTTTAGAGTGTTGAAAGCTGTCGAATAGAGAATTACTTCCTCTAACAACTGTATTGTTGAAGTAAAGTTATGAAGATTGTTAGAGCAGAATCCTGAAACAATATATATAGAAAATGAAAGTACGAGAATGTGGAAAATGAGATGAAGCAGCAAGAGAGTAGAGAAAGACTAGCACAGTGGAATGATGAGAATATTTAAATACAGTCTTTGGTTTATGTACTTATTAAAAATATATATGGGAGTATATCTCTTCATTCCTGCTAGCAGGATATGTAATTTTGCTTACATACGAAAGTATTGTAATAGGGTCCATCCGACGAGTGAGTACTTTCATGTTTTTTGGACGTTAAAGGACGCTTAGAGTATTAAACAGTAGGTCTTCCGTTTCCGTCTGTCGATCTGTCAAATTTTAACCGATTGTTGTCAAAATTTATATGTACGTTAGGAATATCATGTAGATGGTAAAAGGCTAAGCAAAATTTGTCTAATCGTCCCCACCAACAATATGCTAACGTCATCTCCAAAATTACCTTAGTAAATCTCATTTAAATTTTATAAATTGAAATAGGATAGGATCGAAAAGATTAATTTTAATGCTCCACTCGAGCCATTTTATACTTTAATAAAAAAAAACCTTTTATTCGTCATTTGTCCACTCATCATTTATGTCGAAAGTTCCAGCATTACACAATTTTACGAATTACATATCTCGTGCATGAATCACCCCGATCACAACAAAATGGTTTGTAATGCGAATAAAATGTAACTAAACTCTGATTAATTCCATCCGTAAGTTTTTTAGCTTCGGAGGTCTCCTAGGCAGAGAAATGCCAACTTCACTCAATAATCGAAGAAGCAGAAAGCGTTTTTGCCGTTTTCCTACTGGCAGGACATATTTTAACCATTGTACATAAATTGTTCTGCACCATTTGCTCTTCCTGTGTTTATGCACTGTAGATGCAATCTTCGAGCAATTTGCGAATATTTTGTTGTACGCTCGTAAAGGAATTTTGAATTAATTCGGCAAATTTTTTGGATTTTTTCAACACTACTTCATGAAAGTGCTGTATTTTTAATGTTGAGTCAACTTTGAATGCTTGGAATTTTGTGATTTAGTTGAGTTTTGGAAACCTTGAGAATTACAAGGTGCGAGATTTATAAGATTTTGGGACAGCCTGATGATAATTTTATACGTGTGAGTAGTGAAAAGTAATGCTTTTACAATCCATTCTTTTTTCGCTGACGTTAATGTACGAAAAAGTAAATAGTGAAACGCTATGTTTGAATAGTGATCTTTCGTTGCGATCGAGCCGCTCCTGTAAATGGAGTATGTTGCCACGCACTATGCCAACTCTAATTAGTGATCGGAACTAGTATGACAAGGCAGAGGCGTCTTTTGCAGAGTTATCCGAAGTCGTCAAGATTTTAAAACGATTCTGGTGAACAATTTTGCATGAGGAACGTGTTCTGTAATCGTTTTTTAGAAATGAATGGAATTTTGAATGTTAACTATTTATTAACACGAGAGGCTGCTGACACCTTGTCACCTGCCAAATCACGTAAATGTTTCGTAAATTGCAGTAAGAATTGGTCTTTTCGGTGGAAGTGTCTAACACGCGACGTACAGTCCTGTTAACACGCTACAAATTTCGCATATGTCATTCAATCAGTCCATACCGTGTAAACAAGCCTTCCCGAGTACCACGCATCTGCTTGCCCTCTCCACAACCCCACCCTGCCACCTTCCGACAACAGCGCGTCCAAATACCATGTCGCATTACCATACAATAGCCACTCCATATAAAATAACAATTAGAGCGACCTCTGACCTCACTTAGCTGGCCTACATCGTTTAATTGTATCGACAATTCTCGGCGATCATTTGCGTAAATTATCACCAGGTGGGTGTGTCCGTCCGCATCCCGTCCACTTCCAGCCGGGTCAGCCGAATCAATGAACTTTTTTGGTCAAAAAGAAAGGAAAAGGATGCATGGATGGATATTTATGACATCATAAAAATTAAGCGGCAGCCGAAGTCGTTGATTTTTATGGCGCCGCCGCGCGTTCGAAAAATGCAGGAAACAAAAAATTGACCTCAGGTCAGCGACTGGACGGCTCTCGGGTGACTCGGAAAGAGCGGATTCACGACGCAAGGACACTTGCCGCTCGTAAATCAGGGGGATTTGCGACCTCTGGCCGAGGTGATGATGGGAACACGCCGGAGGTGGCGCCTCGGCGGGAACCAACCGCAAGCGGCGGCGGGGCGGGAGACGCCCCGAAATTTGCCCAGATTTATGGGTGGGTTCGAGGAGCGGTGATAAATGTGGCCGGTTGATGGGTGGCCAGGTGGCGGCTCGACCGGATTACTTCCCCGGAACACGCAGATATCACTTAGCAGCCAAAACCGTGGGAAAACATTTTGATTCGTAGTTGGCAATGAAATTCGAAAATGACATTGACAGTTAAATGTCAATTGGTGGTTTGTCAACCGAAGGAGGAAAGCTTGTCAATAGTAATAATAATAAAACTATTTGGCTAGGGCTTACACTCATGTTTCCTCGACGTTTCATGACAAATAGAAATAGAATATAAAAAAAATAGGTTTCGCGATTCCGTCTGTCTGTCGTCTGTGTATGAATTCCACTTGATTTTTTTACCTTAAACATCTAGATTTTTGGAAAAAACAAAATTGTGTAGTAACTTTTTACGACATAACTTTGAAACTACAACACTGAATACTCTGAAATCTTCCAAACGTTTTAAGGTTATCCCAAGCATAGCAACTCGTTAATTAAAATGTATCCGTTTATCCTTCTCTCTCAATTGATGACGTCAATGTTACCACAAAATTTTTTAAGGGAAAAACTTACATGGAACATACGTGATCTCTGAAACTACTGGACTGATTATTGTCAAATTTTGTGTGTATATTAGGAATATCATGTAAATGGTATAACGCTAACCAAAATTTGGATAATCAACACGACCACCAATTTGACGACGTCATTTCAAAGAATTCTATTTTAAAATGACTTAAATGTTATACAATAATATACTCCTATACTTGTGGTGTACAAATCCGCCTTGAGTTTTTTCCCTAAATGGCAAATCTACAAACCGAAAAATAAAAATTTCAAAAAATTGAAAAATTCCCAAAATTGAAATGAAAAGAAAATCGAAAAATTTTAAAAACCGTAAAACCGAGATTTAGAGAAGTCGAGAATTTGAAAAATCGAAATATCGAAATCTAAAAAATTGGGAAATTGAAACATCAAAAAATTTAAATTTAAAAAATTATAACAATGAAAAATCAAAAAATCGAAAAATTGGAGAACGGGAAAATTGAATGTTCTAAAATTGGACTAGTGAAAAATTGAAAAATCGAAATATTGAAAATTTCCAAAACGAAGTATTTCCACTCTAGATTGTAAAGTGTGTTACATTGTTGTGTATATATACACAAATCAAAAAAAATGGTCGACCAAGTAAAAACCAGTGCCCAAAAATTTAAAATATATTTAATGCAGAAAATCAATGGGAAGAAATGCTTTTTGAAAAATCGAAACATCAAAAATTCCAAATCCCAAGTCTAAAAATTGCAAGATCGAGCATTCGAAACATCATAAAGTTG